AGGCGGAGGCAGGAGACTCGCTTGAGCCCAGGAGTTGGAGGTTGCTGTGAGCTGTAATGCCATGGCACTCTACCCAGGGGGACAGCTTGAGTCTCTGTCTCAAAAAACAAACAAACAAACAAAAAAAAACCTCCAACTATTATGGTGCTGGAGGAAATCACATTGTTCATGTCTGTTAGAATTTCTCTTATAAATTGAGGCATATTCTGGTTGGGTGCCAGAATTTAACATTTAATTATAAATGTTAATAATTGAAATCTCATCATGTTGAGTATTGCCCTTAAGTGACCATCCTTATCTTTCCTTACTTTTGTTGTTTAAAGCCTATTGTATTTGCAAATAAAACTGCAACCCCTGCTTTTTTCTGATTTCTGTTTACCTGGATAACAGATGTCCATCCCTTCACCCTAAGTCTATATTTATCCTGTAAGGTAAGATGAGATTCTCGTATGCAGCAAATATCTGGTCTGAGTTTTTGTGTCCAGTCAGCCAACCTGTGCCTCTTAAGAGAACAATTTAAGCTGTTCACCTTAATTGAGAGTATTGATAAGCATGGTAGTATTTTGGGTGTCGAGTTTTTCAAAAGTCCAGTGGACATTTTTAATCCTTTCACCACTGTGGAAGTTGGAATTTGATCAAAAGTTTCTGAGTGAGTTTACTTTGATGGTGGAGGATTGTGCTGTTCTTTATAGAGAATAGGTCTGAGAATATCCTGGAGAGCTGGTTTAGTTATGGTAAATTTCTTCAACATGTGCATGTCATTAAAGTATTTAATTTCTCCATCATAAATGAAACTCAGTTTAGCTGAATACAGGATCCTGGGTTGAAAGTTATTTTGTTTAAGGAGATTAAAGTTTGATGACCACCCTCTTCTAGCTTGAAAGTTTTCAGCAGATAGATCTGCAGTCATTCTAATGTTCTTCCCCTTGTAGGTTATGGTTTTTTTATGTCTGGCTGCTTGCAGAATTTTCTCCTTCATATTAACTTTGGCAAAGGTAATTATAATGTGTCTATGAGATTTTTTATTTGGGTTGAGTTGTGCTGGGGTTCTGAAACTGTCTACTATCTGAATTTCAGAATCTCTTGGCATGCCAGGGAAGTTCTCTTTGATTATTTCATGAAGTAGAGCATCTGTATCCTTCAAAGCAACCTCACTGCCTTCAGGAATTCCTATAAGGCAAATATTAGATCTCTTCAAATTATCCCAGAGCTCTCTGAGAGAATGACCCATTTTTGCTCTCCGCTTCTCTTCCTCTTAGAGCATTTGGGAGTGTTCAAAAGCTTTGTTTTCAATGTCAGAGATCCTTTCTTCTGCCTGTTCCATTCTGTTAATGAGGGATTCTACTATATTTCTCAGATCTTTGAGGGCTGCAAGTTCCTGCCTCAATGTGTCAAAATCCTTGGTAATTTTGTCATTGAATTCGTTCAATTCTTGAGACATCTTTTGAATTACTCCTTGAAATTCTAATTCCATCCTTACCTTCAATCTGTTGATCTTATTTTCTATCCAAATTCTGAACTTGATTTCTGACATCTCAGACATTTGTTTATGAAAGGGATCTTATGCTGTGTCTGCCAAATCATTCCTTGGGGGGAGTTGATCTATTCTGATTATTCCTGTTGCCAGAATTTTCCCATTGATTCTGCCTCATAATTGTTTTTCACCAGTTGGCTAGAGGGGCAGGTAAGGTAAAATTGGATTGGGAGCTCCTAGAGTTGTGGTTAACCAGCCCTTTGTCAAGGATCTGGGACTGGTGACTGCAGCTTTTTCCCCTACAGCTTTGCAAAGGACCCATACCATATTAGAGTCTGAGGCTGAGGAGACCTACTTGGTGTGATGGGGTTAGGTGGCTCAGCAGGTCCTTGGGTGTCTTGGGTTCAGCAGGTCCTTGTGTGATCCTAGTGGATCTCTGGTTTGAAGTCTCAGCTGAAGTTTGCTTTCCTGGAGTTGCAGCTTGCCTCAGCAGATGTGACCTGCAGTTATCACTCCTCTCTCAGCTCAGCTCCCAGTCTTCAGCTTAATTGGGTACTTTCTGAACATTATCCTTCCCTCTGGATGAGAACTTCTGTGAAAGGCTGGCTCCAGTCAGCCATCTTCAACATGAGCTATTTTCAAGTCTCTTTAGTTCTATGCATACTACTTTTCATCTCTGTGTGCTTCCGCCCATCTTATTTCACTTGAACAGAAGGATTCCCCTTCTCTATCCCTTTAGGGATTTTTATTTTTTTAAATTCTTTATTAAATCATAACTGTATACATTAATGCATTTATGAGGAACAATGTGCTGATTTGATATACTATGTGGAATGCTTACATCACTGATTAACATAACTATCTCCTTTCTTGTTTATTTGTTGTGCTAAGACATTCATACTCTATTCTCAATAGTTTAGAAATGTATCATTGCATTATGCACATTAGGTTAGGTCCCCCCAAACATCCTCCTTCCTCCCAGCTTCCCTCCTCCTCTCCCCTGTCCTTCCTCTTCCCTTTAGGGCTTTTTAAAAAATAATTTTTGTTTCAAAATATTAGGAAGTGCAAGTGTTCTTGTTACATGGATGAATTGTATAATGCTTAAATCAGGGTTTTTAGTGTGTTCATCACCAGAATAGTTTATGTAGTACATTGTACCCAATAGGAAAGTTTTATACCTCACTCCCCTCCAATTATCCCCCTTCTTAGTTTCCAATGTCCTTTATACCACTTTATGACTGTGATTAACCATCATTTAGCTTCTACATATTAGTGAGACTATGTGGTGTTTGTTTCTCCACTCCTCTATGGTATATCTATACCACATTTTCTTTATCCACTCATCAATTGATGGAAACTTAGATTGATTACATATCTTTGCAATTATGAATTGTGCTGTGGCAAACATTCAGGTACAGGTGTTTTGTTTTGTTTTGTGTTGTGTTGTGTTTTGTTTTTGGTATAATGACTTATTTTCCTTTGGGTAAATATTTACTAGTGGGATTGCTGAATCAAATGGTAGGTCTGCTTTTATTCTCCATTCTATTTTCCATAGAGGTCTTACTAATTTACAGGCCTACTAATAGTGTATGAGCATTCATTTTTCACCATATCCATGCCAACATCTATTTGTTTTTAAATAATGGCCATTCTGACAGGGGTATGGTGGTATCTCATCATGTATTTGCATTTCACTGATGATTAGTGATGTTGAGCATTTTTCGTATATCTGTTGGCCATTTGCCTATCTTCTTTAGAACAAAACTCTTCTTTCATATCTTTTTCCCACTTTTTAATGGGGTTATTTGATTTTCTCTTGCTGAGTTGTTTGAGTTCTTTGTAGGTTCTGGATATTAGTCCTTTGCCAGATGTACAGTTTGTGAATATTTTCTCTTATTCTTTATATGTGTCTGTTTCCTCTGCTGATTATTTCTTTTGTTATGCAGAAACTTTTTGATTTAATTAAGTCAGATTTATTTTTGTTGTTGCTGTATTTGCCTTTGATGTCTTAGTCATAAATTCTTTGCCTAGGCCAATGTCTAGATGAATTTTTACTGTAGTGTCTCTCAGAATTTTCATGGTTTTAGGCCTTCTATTTAGGTCTTTAACTCATCTTGAGTGAATTCTTGCATATGGCAACAGACAGGGATCCTGTTTCATTCTTCTACATGTGGCTTTCAGTTTTCCCAGCACCATGTATTGAACAGGGAATCCTCTTACCGATGTGTGTTTTTGTCTGCTTTGTTAATAATTAGTTGGTCGTTGCTATATAGTTTTATTTCTGGGTTCTGTACTTGGTTCCATTGATCTATGTCTCTACCTTTATACCAGTACTATGCTGTTTTAGTTAATACAGCTTCATAGTATAATTTGAAGCCAAGTAATGTGATGCATCCAGATTTAATTTTTGTTTAAGATTGTTTTGATTATTTGGGATCTTTTATTGTTCCATATGAATTTTAAGATTACTTTTCTTCTAGATCTGTGAAAAATGATGTTGATATTTTAATAGAATTATATACAACCTATAAATCTCTTTGGGCAGCATGGACGTTTTAACAATATTAATGTTTCCAATCTATAAGCATAGAACTTGGTCTGTTATAAATACTACTAGTTGAAAAAAAGGAGGGAAAGAGATGGAGAAGATTGGCTTAAAATTGATTAAATGATTAACCCAAGGCTGGAGCTTCAGCCTACATGTATCATTTGCTATAAGTTCCCGGCAGTAGCTGGGTGTATCTTGTTTTCAGATATTTTCTTTCCTAGCAGCTCATAATTGGGAAACTCCAAGTCTGATTTGCCCATAATATGGAAGAAAAGGAGATCTATCACCTCAGGCATATTTCTAGAATATTCTGTTTCTCCCAGTAAACTGTGGAGCTGCTATCAGGAAAATAATGGCTTATCATTTGTGTGGCTTGTAGAATGTCTAGTGCTCTGCTCACCTTTTCTCCCTGCCTCCTGTGAAGATGCTCAGGTAGGACCCAAATGTGCCCCCTGTGTTGTTCTGAGGCCTCTGTCAAAAAATACTTAGGACTTCCAGCCTTTACCTCTGAGACCCGCTGAGGTCTGAACCATGGAGACTGGAAGGGAGGAACAGGATTGTGTCACTTCTATTTAGCATTCCTATCCCAACCACACACATAGCACATCCCTCACCCCAGACCTAGGAGCCAGCCTCTGTCAGCGCACTCTTTCCTACCATGAAGGGAATGAAGATCGTAAGGCAAATCCATGGCAATGTGTTGCCATCCTGGGGAGTCCTGTGGTCCCGCTGGTGAAGAAGATGACCATTGGGTCCATTGTCTTTGACTTAAAACAAGTGTGATCTGGGGATGCTGATCTGCAAACAGATTCAAGACAAAAACAGAAAAGCCATTTGTGCTGTTTTTGCCTACTCTCTGGGGAAGCAAAAGAATGAACATGAGACATAGACAGGAAACTGGGAGTATGCATCACTGTAGGAAAACCTGAATATGTCAGTGCTAGGTATAAAAGTGACTTTATGGATGATTCAAATGAGTGGACTGGAATTTTTTCATTTGAAAAATTGAAAATATACAGTGAATTTTAAAAAATGTATTGAATGTTTAAGTAGCACTTTCTATGTTCCAGGCAATGCTTTAAGCAATTTACAAAGATGAACTCATTCAATTCTCAGAGCTAGGAGGTGCGTACTACTCTAATGATGACCACTTTGCAGATAAGGAAATAGAGGCTCAGAGAGTTTCAATAACTTGCCTAAAGATGGCAGAGCCAAGATTCAAACCCTGTGTGAGCTATATCTTAGGCTCTTAACAACACAGCTGTGATTATTGTTGTTTTTTTTAAACATAAACTAGTGTTATAGGAATTTAACTATGATCTCAGTGAAGAGGGGTGGAGAAAAGAAACCAAGCAAATGCGAGAGTGAAAGAAATATATATAATTATTGCATTTGATGTACATCTGTCCTGGCATAAATTTGAAATGGCAGATAGAATTTTTCATTCTTTTAGTCTGCCTTGATTCTCAGGAGCTTCTCCTGGACTGAGAGGCCCTTGAGCCTGCTAACATTGTAAATATGAGCATCCTATGATGTTCAAAGGAACTGAAAATAATCCCAACTGGGAGAAAGACTAACTCTTCTGGCCTTGATCAGAAATGGTACTGTACTGATTTGGGGTGATTTAAAGGAATTTTCAAGAATGTTCTTGATTTTAAGCTGTGTGCATTAAATTGTGAAACTTTGGAATCTAACATCAGATGTGACTTTGGTGTAATGTTTATTTTTAGGGGTTAAAATTAAGAGTTTTAAAAACTCAAATGTCACTCTAAGAAAATAAATGCAATATAGTTTGTGTGATGTGAGACAGGCCTGAGTGCTTACAGAATCAGAGATTTGGAGATGGAAAGGGTCTTTCTTACCTCCAACCAACACTTCCTTAACTGTCTGCAAATTGTCTCTAGAACTCAGTCCCTAGGGATGGAAATTGACCTGCCAGTTGCCTGCCAGCCACAGCTTGCAATTTCATTTTTCTTGAGGTCTCAAGTTTCACCTTAGAAATTCATTTTAATCTTTTATTCAACATCTATAAATTTATTTTACATAAAAATATTTTATATTTACCACTTACAAAGAATATGTTACACCATCAACCCCTGAGTTTACATATCTCCTTTGCACAGTCCCAGGGGAGAGTATACTTTAATGAGAGAAACATGGAAATTCAGCTTCCTAAAAAAGTTTAACTTCTATGAGACCAAGAGGAAGAGGAAGGAACTAGCCCAGAGTCACACACAAATCAGTGACATAGATGGGAAGAGAAAGTTTCTGACATCTGGTGAGCTTCGTACAACTGGTTGCTATCTCCCAGCACTTAGGGGTGGATGACTTTCTCTCATCTTTCCTGATATATCATCAGACCAGAAACTTACCTCATCAGCGATCGGAAGTCCAGCCACCCATTTTGCCTGTGATCAGACACCAGGATCTTGGTTTTCAGAGCAGGGCACTCTGAAGCCACAGAATCCACATCTGGGGCAAGGGTCTCTGTAGTCATGATGCCCTTGGCTTTAGATACTTGAAGTCGGTAGAGAATGTCCTTTGCTTTCAATTGGATGGTCCCTGGGATGAAAATGATCCCTGGAGATTAGAAAGAAACAACTTGTTTTGGTTTCTTTTCCACAACTGTAGGCCTCAGGCCTGGCTCATCTGCATAGAAATCCCTTAACCTCTTGCTGTGCATAGTACTGTCCATAAACCTATATCATCAGCACCACTGGGGATGCAGAATCTCAGGCTCTGCGCCTACCTAATGAATCAAAATCTTCTTTCTAACAAGTTTTCCAAGTGATTCCCATGCACATTAAAATTTGAAAGCCCTGTCCTGACATTCTACTCTAGATAGATTCCCCCCCCAAAACTCTGCTTTACACCACTTTATACTGGATCTGGGAGTGTAAATGTGTATGGGATAGCATCCTCAACATCAGGATTAAAAAACTGCATCTATGCCCCCATCTTTCCACTCTTCTTTTCCTCTCTGTCAGTCCTTTGATATCATCTTGAATCTCCTCTACTCCCTTCATTCCATTGTTCTTCTGAACTTTCTTACCTTCCCTTTTATCTCCTTCACCAATATTGAGTTCAGGCCATTTTGTTCCCACTCAGCCTTTGATTCTCTCTAAATACCCTGTTTCAAAACTTCCTATACACATCTCCCATGTTATTACTTGCCTAAGTTCCATAATGCATTGACTCTTCCCCTTCACATTTCTTCTCTGTACTAACACCTGTACCTTTTCTCCAGGAAAATATGCTCTTCATTCTGATGTTGAAAGTACTGCTTCTTCTGCATCTTTATCTCCTACAACTCTATTCTCAATTTCAAAATGGCCATTCTGCATATAGGCTACCCCCAACTCTAAGCCTTTGCATGTCCTATGGCCATGCTTGGAATGCCCCTCCCTCACTTCTAATTCTCTTTAATCCTGCTTATCCCAGAGGACTCAGCTCAAGTCTTGGATTTACCATAGACCATCTCTTAACTCTACAGGTAGTGCATCCTTCCATCTCTATACTTCTTCCATTGCTGTTAATTCTTGATTCCACATGAGCTAGTTGAATTAACTAGCTAGTTTGTTTGTGAGGGAATATGACACAGACAGAGACTATATGAACAAATTTATGGCAGAGTGTTGTGTGAACATGCAAGATAAAATCAAAGAGGTGATTCAGAAAAGAATAATGAAGACATTTGCAATATATTGTTTATCACAGCTCAACTAACAATCACCAAGATATGAAATCAACCCAAGTGCCCATCAACCCATGAATGTATTAATAAACTGTGGTGTATGTGTACCATAGAATACTATTCAGCCATAAAAAAAGATGAAGACTTTACATCTTTTGTATTAAACTGGATAGAGCTGAAAAACATTCTCTTTTAAAGTAATATAAGAATGAAAAAGAAAGTATCCAATGTATACTAATATGAAGCCACTAGATAAACTAATACATGTCCACACAAGAGAAAATCTCAATTTAATTCAAGTTATGGTGGGGGAAGAAGGGAAAGAAAGAAGGAGGGCATTGGTATGCTCTCACCTAATGGACACAATGTAAGGGTATATGCCATACCTTCTGGATATAGGGCACAAGTACAACAGGGATCTTACCTAACAAAGCAAACAATGTAACCTAATTGTTTGTACCCTCACATCAATCTGAAATTTAGAGTCCCAAACTGATTCTAATTTATATAGATAAAAAATAGATAATTAAAGTGAAAGGGAGATCTCTACAAAAAGATTCTAATTAGCACATATAGAGGGCATGATAGAAATAGAAAATTCCCATAGAAAACCACTATAGTAATACTCAATTCAGTCAAGAATCATCAATGGATACTCAAACCACACTGTAAAGGACTTCTGGGAAACAGGAATATTCATAGTCCCACAAGTATTACACCATGGATTACAAAGAAAAAAAGGTTCCTTTACAAAGGAGAAATCTGGCAATACCACCTTCCTTAAGTAAGAGAACAAACCAACTTCTTCCTTTGACATGATCCTGAGGAAAACACCACACTATAGCATTCCCGCCAGAAGGGTTTAATCTGAATACAATCAAGGCCTTTTCTTTTTTTTTTTTTTTACAATCAAGGCCTTTTCTTGTACATTCTTAAGATAACTGGCTTGGGCACTTTAAAATGCTGTTGTCATGCACAAAAGGCTGGGGACCCTCTCTAGGGTAAAGGAGATTGAGAAGACATGACAACCAACTGCTATGCAGGATTCTCATTTGAGTTTTGGATTTAAGGCAAAAAAAATTAGTTATAAAGGACATCATTGGGGCTGTTGAGGAATTTTTTACTATGGATGTATATCAGCTAACTATATTACATCAAGATTAGCCTTCTTGTGTGGTGACTCTATTGTGATTATTTGAAGGGAATATTTTGGATCTCAGAAGACACACACTTCTCTGTGTTTGTGGGTTACTTGGTATTTATAGGTGTCACAATGCCCACAAATGGTTCTTAAATGATTCAGTAAGAGAGAGAGAACTCAATTTGGGAAAGTGTTAACATCTGATAAATCTGTAGGAAAGTAAGAATGTCCAAGACTGTGCAAGAGAGACTACATGAGAGACAAAACGTATGACATTGTGTTTGAGAGTATATGAATGTGAGTGTGAGGGAAAGAGTAAGAAAATCTGTGGGGGAATGTGAGAAAGAGAGACTATAAAGAAGAAAGAAGAGAAGGGAAGAGAAAGCATTTCGTCTCCAATAAAATTGTTAATTCCAAGAGGTCAGGGAGCTTTGCTCTGTGGTCCCAGGATAGGAGCTAAGGCCAGAGCTTCAGAGCTATGTTGGTGCTGGGCTAACATCCCAGCACCAAATATCCCAGGACCAACCATCTCCAGCCATCCCTGAGGTCCACTGGGACCCACTTGTACCACTGACCTGTCCGGATGCAGCCCACCGTCGCAAGCCACCACTCAGGCACTTGAGGTAGAATCAAGGCTAGACGGTCTCCTTGCTGAAGGCCACAGGTCTGCTTGAAGATGTTGGCTACACGACACGTTAGGTCTGTTATCTCTCTGAAGGTCCATTTCAATTCTTCTCCTTGCCTATTCACCCACCAAAAGGCTGGGTTTGGACCTATCTTGCCCTCCTGGTGAAGATCATATACCATATGTTACTTCCTGCTTCAAAGGGAAAGGGTGCTCTTTCAGCTAATTAATTGCCAAAGAATATAGTCACATGCTATAGCTTAGAGACTCACAACCCATTTTAAGGCATTTACAGAGCGAAAAGTAGTTAAAGGATGGGATGGGATGCAATAATTTCTCTGACCTACTATAACCACCTCCCTCAACCCATATAATACCATAAATCACCTTTATGTCCCAACTGAAGATTTAACATGTGTCTATCTTAGTCCCATGGGCTCCTCTTCGTGTATCGTCTTTCTCATATATAAAATGGGGACAATAATACCATCTAAAATATAGTAAAGGTTTATTTTTTATTTATCTTTTTTTTTTTTGAGACAGAGTCTTGCTTTGTTGCCTTCAGTAGAGTACTGTGATGTCACAGCTCACAGCAACCTCAAACTCCTGAGCTCTAGTGATCCTTTTGCCTCAGCCTCCCAAGTAGCTGGGAGACTATAGGTGCCCAGCACAACACCCTGCTATTTTTAGAGACAGATCTCACTCTTTCTCAGGCTGGTCTCAAACTCTTGAGTGCAAACATCCATTTGCCTTGGCCTCCCAGAATGGTGGGATTACAGGCATAAGCCACCACACCCAGCTAAAATACAGTGAAGTTTAAATAAGTTACTTAGGGACGGTGCCTGTGGCTCAAAGGAGTAAGGTGCCAGCCCCATATGCCGGAGGTGGCGGGTTCAAACACAGCCCCGGCCAAAAAATGCAAAAGATAAATAAATAAATAAATAAATAAATGAGTTACTTGAATCAGCAAAGCACATAACAGATGCTGGCACACAATATTTGCTCAATAAATATTATTACAACAAAATAAAATTTAAATTAATAACCTAATTGCTAATAGTTTTTTAATTAAGGTACTTCTACAGGTGAAGACAGCAAAACAGCAGGCAGGGAAGCTCTGGGCCCTTTTTCTCCCATAGAAACATTAAACAATAGGTGGACTAAAATAGCTTTGTGAGAGGTCTAGAAACCAGCCAAATATCTGTAGCAACCAAAAAAAATGCCCTAAACATGAGAAGTCCATATTTGAAATGGTAGGAAATACCATTATGCTTTTGTTGGTCATTGCCCCACCTCCTCCCTCATATGGTACAGTTTGGTTAAGAGGAAGTCACTCAATTCCTAGCTCCTCTCTTGAGACAGAAGGCAAATAATGGAACTTGTCTGCAATCTTCTGGCTTGTCTAGGAGCTGATGAACAGGTTTTTGTTTTCTCGGAGTTGGAGGTCAAATGGAAACTGTGGCTAGTTTGAATATCAATCTGAAGGTTTCTGAAAGCAGTGGCAGGTGCCGTGGTATGTGGAAAGTTCAGACTTATAGGCACTTGGGGAGCAAGAGACTACGGAAAAAGGAATATAGTAAAACATCTAATGCCCTGAGAAGAAGCAAGGATGTATCTCTTAGGGAAATGAAGAAATTTAAAAGCAGTTACATAGATGGGAATATTGGGGGACTGGAGAGGAAGCACATACATAGGCTCAGAAAAGATAAAATGGAAGCAAAAGCCTAAGAAGACCTTAAACATTTACGCTGGGAAGATTGGTGGAGGTCTTCCCCTGCGTGGGGCTAGTCTGCATGACTGAGAGGAAGGGGGCTGTTTTTCGTTTTTTCCAAAATATCTAACTTTCCACAACATATTATAAAGCATAAAAGAAGCAGAAAAATATAGTCCATTCAAGGGAGAAAAATGAATCTCTAGCAACAAAGCCTGAAGAAAAATGGACTTCAGTTATTAGACAAAGATTTTAAACAATTGTCTTAAATATATGCTCAAAGTGTTAAAGAAAAAGAAAACAGACACATACCTAAATTTTGTCTAATTTAAGAAAAACTAAGAGGG